GCTGTACTGCCTGTACATCCAAGATTACAGCACCTGATATTCCCTAAGCGGTCACCCATCTAGATACCGACCACTCTCGACGTTGCTTAACTTCGTTGAGAAGACGAGAACCGGTGTTTCAACTTGATATGGTAGTAAGCGGTTCTGCCCGCAATCCAATTTTACAGAACCTGATATTCCCAAGCGGCCACCCATCTAGGCACTGACCAGGCTCCACGTTGCTTAACTACAGGAACCTGTGTTTCAACGTGATGTGGTCGTATGCCCGACTAAAATTAAGCTCTTGGCTAACAAATGAGTAACGGTACGTGTGATTATGTCCCAGACAAATCAAAGCTTTAAAAATAAAATAAAATTAAACTAAGTGATAATATTAGTGCGCAAAGGCAAAAAGAAACGTTTAAAGCCTCCAGCAAAGGAGAATTCCTCCAATCAAAAACTAAAAAAAGAATTCAAACTTTTACAGCGTCTGGCAATGTATAAAACCTCTAAAATAAACGAAATTCACTGCGTACAACAACATTGAAAGCGTCTAATGAAAGAAAACAAAACTATGAATTCATTCGCGGGGTAAAAACTCAAAGTAGAAGGTTACTTAATGAAATCTGTGATATGAACGTAAGAAGACGCAGTAGGAAGTGAAGATTACAAGGATATATGGAAGATAGATAACGTTGAATCCACATTAAGTTAAGATTGTAGTGTTCGGGGAAGCATACAGACGGGAATCGTTCTCACAAAATAACTGCGTCCTGGGGATGACGATAAATTACGTCCGACAGCAAGGCCTCTGATCAGGAGGCTTTGAGGAGCGGGGAACCACCTCTTAGTTGCTGGTGTTCCCATTTTCAACCTGACCCGTGATGGTAGCACCTATTAGGGTCCCACCAATAGGCAAATAGTTAACCCCAAACTGGGGTCAAAACACTATGAAAGTGTAAAACCTAGGTTTCAATACCAGCAATACATTATTGCCAGCAATACATTTTCGAAGAAAAAAAAAATTACCAGCAATACATTTTTGAAGGAAAAATATTACCAGCAATACGTTTTTGTAAATAAATTATTATCTGCAATACATTATTGCCAGCAGTACATTTTTGAAGAAATATAATATTACCAGCAATATATATTGTAGGAAAAAATATTACCAGTATTACATTTTTGGAAAAATATTACCAGCAATAAAAATCTTGTCGGCATTAAATAACCCATTGAGGTTGTTATGCCGTAAAACAAACCAAACCAAACCAAATAGCTGATTCTTGCGAAGAAAAGTTCTTACCACGGGGAATATGTAAAGAATGAGGGCTTTCAACCCTGTGGATGTTCGCAAGGCGGGTCTTGACTCTAGAGGTCTGAAATAGTGGCATTAAAGAATGGAGCTCGTTTGAATATTTGCTATGGAAATAGCGATAAGCTTGCGTGTGTGTGTGTGGCAGGAAAAAACAAACGCTGACAGTAACCAACAATACTGCTTTTTAGATTAAGCTTTTTTTCTTACTATTATTATTTAGAGTGGTCTCCCTTTGTTTCATTACTCTCTTTGAGAGAGCTCTTTCTGTTTACTGGGACTATAAAATGGCACTATACGCGAATGTTGTATTTCTCAAATGAATAAAGCTTTCTTAAAGCTGCCACCTGCATACTTTTGTCATTACAATTTTATTACTCGTTTTACTCCCTCTTGTTTACGTATAAATTGACAGTTCTCCCTAAAATGAAAGAATCCATGTACTCTGCCTCGAATCAAAGTGCTGCTCCCCGACACATCTACCTAATATCATCACGCTATTACTCAGCCTTTGGGCTGGGATCAAAATGTAGTATCTGTTTTTTCTCTTTTGTCATGTTCCCATATATGAGAGACATCGACGCTATATTTCTGCTTTCGGAAAATTGGCGGTTTACAATAAGGTGATCTTTGTCCTGGGGATTCTAATCCTACGGCAGTACCTGATCCATTGCATCACAAATTAATAAATAATGCCTCGTAGTCACTCAGCTTTCAGGCTTAAATCCAAAAACAACAGCAACGCCTCTTTAGAGGAGCTAGGAACTTTCAGGGTGGGGGGCTGTGTTCAGGGGAGATAGGTGGACCGATATAATTTTAACAGTGGAATAAGATTATTTAAACCTTTGAAATATTTTATATACGCTTTTGTTTATATAGAAAGCTAATACTAATTATTCAACAAAATCTTCCAAGCCGATATATTTACATTTCACGGTGTATTTCAAATATTTATTTGCAATATGTGTATCGAGCAAAAACCTGAATACCTAAGTAACCACTACTTGAAGAAGAATTGTTTTTCAGGTCTATGGAAAGTGTCAACTGTATGGCCTGTCACTAAGGAGGCGAGTGAATGCTTATCCCGTTCACAATATCGCCACACTAACTTCCTTAGCAAACAACTTAAGTCTATTATAAGCATTAAATTTGTTCATCACAACAACAGAAACAACTTCCTGAACGACAAACAGTATGCATTTCGCCTCTCTATGTCCACTGCTGATGTCCTAACGGTCATTACACACAGAAGTAGCGAAGAACATAATAATAAACTAATGAGTGTAATGGCCTTAGACACACCCACCCATCCACACACACAAAGCAGGAACTCTCGAGATGTTCCCTATCTCACGGTGCAATAAACATGTATATTTTCATACAACCTAACCCAGTTATTCTTAACGTGTGAGGTCACTGTGAGCCCAGGGGTATTAAATAGTGCGCTATAATTAGAACGGGGCAATAAGATTATTAAACCCTTTGAATCCTGATTGGAATATAACATCTTATCTACACATTTGTTCATCATATTCCTTATACATTTACATTTTAAATGTATTTTAAACATTTAGTTGCAATTCCAAAATGTGCTTGAAGTCCAAACATGCAAGCTAAAATCCAGCAGTTTCTATAGTGTGACCCAGTGACCAGCGTTTGGCTGTACCTGTCACAGCTTAAAATTCTGGTGATTGGCGTTGCTAGAATGCAACAAAATGTAAACTCGTGATTTTGTTGTAATAACTCTGCTCCATTTGCTAGTGCAGTTTTAACGTCGGAGTTATAGCCTGTGCAAATATCTGACAGTAATGGAAAAGAAAAAGTTAAGAATCAGTGAAATACAATATCATAGGCGTAGTTCATGGGGAAAAAAATCTAGTTCCGTGGGTTGTAACCCTGCGGCGGTACCTCCACCTTTTAAAGTAGAGAGATCGGAATATTCTAAAACCTGCGTAACAGTGGCCGTGGGGAGACTGGGAAATGTGTGTGTGTGTGTGTGTGTGTGTGTGTGTGTGTGTGTGTGTGTGTGTGTGTGTGTGTGTGTGTGTGAGAGAGAGAGAGAACTGACAATTGTAAAGGGAAGCGAGATGAATACAAGATCAAAGTGAAGTATCTGTCTCCTCTTTGAAATTATTTGTTTTTACAAATGTTCACCTTGTATAATGTTCAGTCAAAGAAGGTACCGAATGAAAATGATTGGGTGTAAGAGTAGGAAGTGGAAATTATGAGACTATTGAGGATTAATACGTAATGATAGAAGATGTTAAGATTGTAATGTTCGGGGAAATATCCAGACAGGCGCCTGTTCCAGTATTCTTCAGAAGAAGCTTTTTTACCAACGGAATACGTAAGGAATGAGTGCGATTGATTTCTGTGCATACAGAAAGGTGAATCTTGGCTGTAATGACACTAAAGAATGGAGTTCATCTAAATATTTGCCATGGAAGTAACAACAGTAACGATCGGTTTGCCACATTTCGTGCCTGGGATAGAGGCTGTAGGTTGTAAAATAAGTCGTTCACCCACGAGGCCGAGTAAATGATTTTGAGCACTTTCAACGCTGGGAAGTGAGGATTGGACAGACCCAGCCCAGACATTAGTAGGCCAATTTAACTCAATCTGTTTTAAAAAGTAGCCACTAAAAGTTACACGTAGCAAAATTCAAAATCTAGTAGTATCGGTTTTTGAAAAACTAGTCCAATTGTGCACCAATATGGCAACCCTTTGTCTTCTACAACAGTTTCCAAAAATGGGCTCTGTATAGACATAGGACTCCGTAAGTGAGTTCCAAAGGCTTTGTAAGCCTTTCTGTTATTTTGTTTGTGATTTTGTACCGCCAATGTATAGGGTTTGATGATGAAGTATTGTCTAATTTAAGCTTTATATGTATAACTAGCAGCATGGCCCGGCGTTGCCCGTGCTTGATTCAAAAATCGTACGACTCATACAGCAATCGCTATCACTTGACTTAAAATATTTTTGCCCTTCCTTGCCTTTAAAGGAGTACCTTTTGCCGTGCTGATGTTGCTACATGCCTTACTACTCACACTGCGAATTTTTTTAAGCTCTATACTAAACATTAAATCTGTTACGAAAAAAGAACTAAACAAAATGAACACAAAGCGATCAGCTTTAAAAAAAAAAAAAAAGGACTCGTAACTGGAAAAACTAAATGAAAAATGAATTTTAACAACAAATACTTTTTCACACCCAACCCAATTCTGCGGAATCAGAATCAATGTTGAGTTTAAGCAAGAGAATGAGCCAATTGGAGTAAAGGGCCATGCAGATTTAAATTTTTCCCACTTGTGACTAATGCAGCTATCGATTTTTTTTTTTTTGCATGCTAGCATCCTAGTTAACATTCGTGTCAGTCAGCTGTTGGCTCTCACGTTGGCCAATTGAATCTTCCTGCCTATTCGTAGCAGCCAGCTATACGCTCTCACTCTGGTAAGTAGAAAATGGCCGCAAGCTACATGAAAAGTGCCGTAGAAGCATGAAAAAATCGATTATTTCCACTATCGATGGTAGTTGGGAAATGCAAAGTCGGTCTTGGGCTTCCCGCTAACTTGGAGCATCTGCATGTAAATTTTGGTGCAAATACGTCGAAAATTGCGGCCGTGCATTCGTTACACACACACACACACACACATCCTGCCTTTTATAGATAGAGATTCGTTTGAAACCATTTTAAATATTGATCAGA